AAAAAATATATATATATATATAAATATAAAAATTCAACTAATAATTTAATCCTGCACACATTTTTATCCATAGCAACTTTCAGTTTGTGCTTTCCCTGGGAATCAAACTCACAGCCTTTGCATGCACACATTTTTATCGCAAGCAACTTTCAGTTTGTGCTTTCCCTGGGAATCAAACTCACAGCCTTGCCACTGTTCATGGTAAACTTTAAGAAAGAAAGAAAGAAAGAAAGAAAGAAAGAAAGAAAGAAAGAAAGAAAGAAAGAAAGAAAAAGAAAGAAGATTAGTGTGTTATTAAACTGTGCTGTTGAGCGCTCCAGCTTTATCCACTAGTGTGGAGATGTTTTGCTACTGATCACGGTTACACTGCGGCTCAAGCCAACTTCCTCTGTCAAACCTTTGAGATATACCTCAGCCGTCTTTGCTATAAATCACCAAAGCATAAAGCCTGGCGCTGATACAATCTCTATATTGCAAGTTTTTAATATCCAGCGGGACGTGTAAGTCGCAACGCCCGGAGGACATCCGCAGCAAAGCAGAGAAGATAAATAGACCAAACGGATCCACCTAGATAACTCATCTCTCACGCTGAGATTACACGCTATGTGGCAGCTGAAAACCCAGAGAAAGACAGAAAGCGAGAGAAGGGGAGGACATCAGGTGCTCAAGGGATCGGTTACTCTGTCAGTCTCTGGTTTCGATGACGTGAATAATATTATCTGCTTTCCACATCCACACTCTGGGCTTTTCCAGCGCACACCCCAGTGGCCTCGCGTATCGCTGTTGTCCTGCTGCACCGAGAGCAGTTAAGACACTAAACGGCTATGACAGACTTTTTGCCTTTTGAGTCCATAAATTCGCATCCTCTGTGACTTATTTTCCGGTGGAAAATCCAGGCCACGAGTCTAGGAAATGTGATTGCGCACAGTGAATATAAAGTGCAGGATGATGGACAGATGAACAAATGAACAGAAGGGCCACGAGGGAAGTTGTGCAAGACTAATCATGGAGGTTTTTAACACAGTACTACAAATTATCTTCAATCAAAAGATTTTTAAAATCTGTTTAAAGGGTTTTAAATAAAACAGGGGTTTCTGAACAATTGCTGTATTGAAATGTGTATTCTATATATTGTTCTCCACAACATTTTGTAATTAATTCACATGTATCTCGAAATTAAGATAATACAAATGTGGATATTTGGGATATTTAATGAATTAATACATATTATTATTAAATGATATTACTTATATGTTAATTTATAATAATACTACTAATAATACTAATCATTATTATTAAGAAATGCATTATATGTTCATATATTTTAATATTAAATATTAAAATATAATATAATTTAAAATTATAGAAAGAGAATTTTTTTTTTTAAATAAATCCTTTCAAATCAAAACCATCAGCAGTAACGTCACTGTTTCTTGCATTTTTTGCATAATAAATTGTAAATTTATTAATTATACAATATAAAATAATAATAATAATAATAATAATAATAGTAGTTATCAGATTTATGTAATAATAATAATAATAATAACATTATTATTATTAGTAGTAGTAGTAGTAGTAGTAGTATTATTAGTCAAATATACATAGTATTTTCAGTATAATAATAATAATAATAATAATCATTAATACTACTACTACTACTACTACTACTACTACTACTAA